TCTCAATTGATGCAGAAAAGGCTTTTGACAAAGTCCAACACTCATTCATGTTCAAAGTCTTACAGAAAATTGGAACAGATGACCTCTACTTCAATCTGATAAAAGCCACTTAAGAAAACCCAATGGCTAACATAATTCTAAATGGGGCAAAAACTGAAATCTTTTACTCTTAGATTTGGTAGAAAGCAAGAGTGTCCTTTATCACTACTCCTATTCAATATAGTTCTGGAATCATTAGCTAGAGTCATTAGCTCAGAGGGAGAAATAAAAGGAATAATAATAGGTAAAGAAGAAGTTAAATTATCATTATTTGCAGATGATATGATACTTTACTTGGAAGACTCATAAACTCCACCAAGAAGCTACTAGAATTAACATACAAATTCAGTAACATAGTAGGATACAAAGTCATTACCCAAAAGTCAAGAGCATTCCTTTACACAGATAACAAACACACTGAGAAATTAGAGAAACAATACCTTTTACAACAGCACCAAGGAAAATGATATACCTTTTAATTAATCTAACTAAAGAAGTCAAATATCTTTCCAAGGACAATTGCAGTACTCTTATAAAAGAGATCATAGAGGATTTCAGAAAATGGAAAGATATTCCATGCTCCTGGAACAACCAACCTTGTGAAGATGGCCAAATCCCAAATTGCTATATAGATGTAATGCAATCCCTATAAAACTACCACCAACATACCTCACAGACCTAGAGAAATCATTCCTAAAATTTATCTGGCACTAGAAAAGACCTAGAATAGCAAATGAATTCCTGGGAAACAAAGACAAGGCAGGAGGCATTACAATTCCTGACCTGAAATTACTACAAGGCTCCTGTGATAAAATCAGCATGGTACTGCCAATGAAATAAACCTGAGGATCAATGGAATAGATTAGAAGACTCTGAAGCCTCTATGAACACACTCAGCCACCTTACATTTGACAAAGGGGCCAATCATACTCACTGGAAGAAAGATAGCCTCTTTAACAGATGGTGCTGGAAAAACTGGCTGTCTACATGCTGGAAACTAAAACTAAGACTGGAAATCCCATTTAAACCACCTACTTACCTGCTGGAAATTTTCCAAGAGGATCTGAAAACATCATATCATAGTGATATATGTATACCTATGTTTATATCAGCACAATTTGTGATAGCCAAATCTTGGAATCAACCAAGATGTCCATCACCTGAGGAATGGATGAAAAAGATGTGGTATTTTTATACAATGGAGTATTACTCAGCTACAAAGAATGATAAACTCAAAGCCTTCATATTTAAGTGGATACCACTTGAAGATATACTCATAAGTGAAATAAAGCAGATACATATGTGTAAATGTCATATAGTCTCCTTAGTATAAGAACTCAAAAGAAGAAATACACATAAAAAGATATAATTCAGTTAAAAGGAATGCAAGAACTTGAGGAATAGATAATAAAAAGAGAACAAGGAGAAAAGCTAGGAAACATGACAGAGGCAAAGCCATACAGTTATATGTACAAGATGGATAAGGCAATGATCATGAGAATCTTTAGAAGCTTTTTGAACCTAGCAGTTAATTGGAAGGACTCTCACTCTGACTAACTATATATGCTGACACTATGCAAGTGCACTGAAGGCAATTTGTAATAGTAGGTTCATGCTTGTAGTGCCTGTCATTCTGATCTTCTGAATACGTGCTGTTTGTCATGTCATGCCATTGCTGCCATGCTATCTCTCAGGTAGATGTTTGTTTAAAATCAAAGTGGGTGGGCCAGGGAGATGGCTCAGTAGAATAAGCGTTTCCCTGGCAAATGCAAGGATCTGAGTTCAATCCCCAGTTCCACAAAAAAAAAAAA